TGTCCACTCTTTCCACCTCAGAGCCACAGATAGTGAGTGGATGGAAGTCCCTCTGCTGTTTCCTGCTGAATCTTACCTTGGGACACTGGGAATGAATGCACTAACAGTAAAAAAGATACAGTACACTGACTAACCAGCCTCTACCTAATCTCTATAAACATATATTTGCATATGAATGCAGATCCTGTAGGCAAGGGAACAGGATTTTGGCATCAGAAGCATTCAGGTTTCCATTTCCTAGTATTGACCAATCATGGTTAAGCGTGCTTTGGTTGCATACAGGTAAACAGTCCCTGTGGAGAGCAAAAGAGGTGGAACACATTGGCTGAAATGCAACCCAGGAAGCCATCGCCAGATGACAATTTAGCATTTAAAAAAAAAAAGTTTTTAGAGATTAGCCGAAATGTGTCTTTCTCTCATCATTGTCGCATCTCAAGTGGCTAATCAAACTGCAGAGGAAGTGTTGGCCTTGAATATCATTTTCTGGATGTAATGTAATATCACTACATTATGTAAAATGTAATACATTTTCCCCTGCATTTTCTCATAAATTATTACATATTATTACAAAAAGTGAGAGTTAGACTTTTTTAATGAACTGCATTTTGAATGCGCTGAAGCTTTGTGATGTCCTTATAGGGAGCCCTGTCTAAAGACCATTGCAGCAGTCGAAAGAAGAAAGTTTTTTCAGGTTGGCGTTTGACACGAAGTCCCTGAGTTTGGCTGTATTTGTAAGATGGTAACAAGCTTTATGTGGGTTACTTAGACTAAGATCAGAGTCAACTATAAAGCCAAGAGGGGACCACAGGTCAGTGGCAGGAGTCTAATTTAATACGTTTATTTTAAATTCATTTATAACATGTACAGATGAAAAGATTATTATTACAACCAATATTTAATCAAATAAACTTGTCAAGATCCATATCCCTTTTGCAACAGAGACAGTACAGCCAAGATAAGACACACAACATACAGTCAGTCACCTATAAGGACATACAAACAGCATCAGAAACAATCAGTGACAGTGACTGATGGCTGCACACATTGTTTGTCTGACACAGCTGACAGGACATACAGCGAGGAACAGAGGGAGTGAGGGAGGTGTCTACCTGCCAATTTAGGGACAGATGGTGTGAAAGAGTATAAAAAGAGAGACAAAGAGGCTTGGAAAGGCCAAAGTCGCTGCTCTTTTCTCTTGAAGTTAGCCTTTGTTTTGTTCTGCATTTTGTGGTTATTTGCTTCCAGCTTTGTTGCTGAGTTCTTTTCCTTAGTCAATTGTTTGCATTTGTGCATTTATATTTATATCCTGATGTATCACATTAGTAGATTTCAATAAGATATCCTCAGTGTCCTAAAATGTTTATCCTCACGTGGTATTTTTTGCTTTCGTCAATTAAGACTTTATATGCCAAGCAAAGCAACAGGCAGACATTTGTCAAATAAATTATAGCACAGACTCTCCTCTTTTGACTGACCATTTGTTTCTGCCGTCATCCCAGATATTCTTTTAACACTGAAATATTGGTGACAGTGGCTGACATACAACCAGTCCTCAATGTTTTATTTTTCTCCCTAGAGATGTTTTTTCAGATTTCTGACAGGCCTGTTTCTTCTTCTGGTTATCTGGCTGGATTCCACTGTAACATGTATTACCACCTGGCTGACTTTTTTCTTATTTTATTCAGTTCTACCCATGTGAATAAAATTGAAAGAAATTGGTTCGCCTAATTTCATTTCTTAGAACATCAGAAATGTGTGTAAGATTCACTTGACAACTTGACAAACATGGTCTAGCCTGGGTCTTTGTCCTGTAGGGTTCAGTCAAATCAGTTCAACTTCGACAGGCAAATTCATGACACTGACTGATTGCAAATGGTCCCGGCAGTGCTGACCTTTTGAGAAAATGAAGTGGAACATACCAGACTCTAATGCTCCATGGACCCAAAAACACAGAAGCAAGAAAAAGCCTTAGGCAAAAAAGAATCTGCCACCTTGGAACACAGCATCCAGTTTGTGATTCTTCAAACTCATCTTGGTGGTCTTTCTGGAAGGATCAACATGCGTTAGCTAGTCCTTCACCACCCTCCTGGGTTGATTGCAGTTCACACACTGCACAGCTTTGTGTCTCTACAGTAGGGATGGGACGATATACTGCATATAAAGCTCAGATTAATTTATTGTGGTGAATTTCCATTATAATTGGGAATATCTTCACATGGCTTGGCTTAAAAAAAGCTGTCCAGCTCTCCAGCATACAGTCCTATATTGATTTTGATATATTGATTTTTGTATGTTTTAGTGCCATTTGAAAAGTATGAAATATATTTTCATGATTATCGTGATAATATTGTGTATCGCAATTACTTTGGCCAAAATGATTGTGAAGAAATTTTCATATTTCATTGTCCAATGACTACTCTACAGAAAACTAAACTGAAACCAGAACTTCAAGGTTCTGTTTCAGAAGTAAGAAAGCCTTATTCAAAATGAAAAAGGCATTTGTAATAACAGGCACTACATATGTTTAGATAAAAAAAAAATACAGCATAGTGTTTTTCCTGACCTTTAACAAACCATTTTTCCCATGAGCCCCAGACAATTGTGTGTTAAACGTTACAACTCCATGGGTGAGCTCTCAATTAGAAATGGAAATAATTAAATGATAATGACAATGAAACATCACTTAACTGTAGTGTTTTTGAGATTTTCTACAATATCACAAAACAAAATATCGCGATACTCAAGTGTATTGATATTTTCTTACATAATAATGTGGGTTAAATCCTAGTATGTATAGCATCTAACACCTGTATACCTGGTACTCCTAGGCAAGCATTATTGGCAATACTGTGCTAACAGAGGATACAGAATGTATCCATTTTGCCACAGACTAAATGCAGTACACAACATTCAAGTAACCACCGTCAAACACTTGGGCTATGGGCACACTGCATGTCTTAATGTTCAATGATTTTTTTGCGTGGTTGTTTACATTATAATTTAAATGCGACCGCCATCAGACTCCAGTGTGATCAATCGACGGCCCCGAAGTGACCCACATTCGCAGCACGCAGTGTTTACAGACGTAGATATGGATGCTACACATGTCAGTGTGTGTGTATCAATTTTGAAGTATTTGTGCAATCGGAGCTGACAAAATTATGATGATGATTATGATATTGCCGCGTCCTGCCTCCTCCGGTGCAGAATTGTGATGCCTGTCTCACTTCAATGACATAAAAGTCGGATGAAATGCGTGCTGACCATTCAGACTGAGGTCGCTTTGAAAAACATCAGATATGTATTGGATTTAGGACCACATATGAAAGTG